TTCTGCATGAGCAGAAAGTTTTCTTCTGCTAAGATTATCAATCAAACACCCTGTGTCCTTGTCCGCCGAGTCTTCGTCAGTCAAAATATGACTTTCCGGAGGTTCTATGAAAATATCTCTGACGTCATCCATTTCTTCTGAGTCATCATATGCAATTTTTAATGCATCTCGCAACGTCAGTCCCCTAAAATATTGCACATCATATATCAATCATTCTTAACAGTAAACCGCCTAGCGGTACCATATGGGATCAGCATTGTTTACGCTTCAAAAACAAATATGACGAAACATTTTTTTTTAATGCAAAATATATTATAATGAACATTGTCTTTTAGGAAAGATAAAATGTACTTGAAATGCTCAGACTCTGAAGCGTATTCACATTACAATACTTACACTAATCGAAAGTCCATGTTTTCTTGAAAACTGATATCTGTTGATATTGTAACTTGTGACAAACGCGTGCAACACTACACACCAACTCGAAACAGCGCACAATGTGTTCATGTGTCTCTAAACCAACGCCTCGACCAACGCCTGGCTCACGCGCATTTCCACTGAACATAACGGTATGGCCACGAGATGTCGAAAAGTGGACACCTGATTGGTGGTAAGGCGCTAATGGGTTAAAATAATTTTTTTCCATCAATTCATCCTTTAAAAAGTAATTGAAAACGCCAAATTGAACGAGCGAATTCAAACAATCAGACATGGTCGCGAAACGTGTGACGTCACTGCGCGAGCAATTTGGATTGGTAATACTCTCACCTTCCCTTGGGTGCCAATCAAGGTCTGTCTAGTTAATAGGTTATCGCATAACTTTTGGCCGTGACGTCACCCTGCGTTCCACTATGTTTCACCAATAAGATTCTTTCTTTTTAGACATTTACCCGCCATTGCACCCGCGAGGTTTGTGTGTTGTGTGATGGTTGTGTGGCTTTTGAAATTGCTTTGCAACTGAATTATTATTCTAATAAGACATTATTTATTGTTGTGAGAAGATTGTGAGTGTGAAAAAATACTAAAATATTCTTTCAGAGAAGTTGAAGGTAAATGCATTTGATGAGAAATATAACCTATCACTGCCCAGCAAAATAAATCGGCCACAAAATTATTCCCAAATCGAATTTTGTAGATTTTTTTCTTCAAACTATGGGTTGATTCATCAGTAATGATTCTGTAGTAGGCATTTTTATTCAAATATTAATTTGAGCTCATACACAGAGCAGTGCAAGAATGAAAAGAAATCATATTCACTGGTTGATCTTGTTTGCTGGGCAATTTATATAGTTTCGTGATATATTGTGATTGTTAAAAACGAACAACACTTTCCAGATGCCGGGAGGAACAACTTGTGGAGAACGAAAAGCTAAGATTTTTTTCCTTTCTGAGAACGGCTCAGATATGCCAAGAATGGGTGAGGAAATGCAACAAGAAAGATTTATTTTCAGTGAAGAGCAAACGTATTTGTAGTAGGCATTTCCTGCCAGAAGACTATGAAGATTTTCTGAAAGCAAATCTTTTGAAAATCACTCCAAAGAAATTGAAAAAAACAGGTGAAGTGTGTGCTCCAGTGTGTGGTTCAAATTTGCTGAGACATTTACTGTATGCATAATGTAGTTTTTATAGCTGTACCATCATTGTTCCTCTTGGCTTCAGAAGGCCAGCAAGAATCAGTTTCTGTTCCTTTAGAGAAAAATAATAAATCAGCTGACAATACAAAAGAAGACCTCCTCATCCAGGAACAAGAGGTAGAAAATGGAATTGTTGAGCATGATAAGGATCTCAATAAGGGTACTTGTCTACTTATTTCTTAGAATGGAAATGATTCTGGTACGTATTAGATGTTTATCCCTTGGAATAGCTATACAAAGTTGGTACAGTACTTTTTTCTATTTCTATATTGATTTTAATTATTTTCAGAAGCTGTTCCTGAACAATTGACTGAAGCACAAGTATTTGAAAAAAAGTATAGACTTATTCAGACAGAAAATGATATATTGAGGAATAAATTGACAAAATTACAGACAGGAAATGATATATTGAGGGATACATTGGAAGGACTACAGGCAGACTTCAGAGTAATGGTGTTATTTTATTATAATAAATGTAGGATACCTTAATATGACTTTCTGATATTTCCTTTAAAACTGTTATTATATTGCATTTCATGTTTCTTTCTCTATAATGTATATGTATTTTATTGATATAACATAATTTTTAAATGAACCTGTTTTATCTTTTCTTTCATGTATATTTTTACAATATTATTTTGTTATGTATGCTAGCATAATTGACCTTGACCTGTGTAAATACACCATGTATATCAACACCAATAAATCTATCCCTCTATGTATTCTTGATAAATTGTATTTCTTAACAAAAGTCTATTTTTTATGATAAATAGATATTATATTATATATAATTATATTATAAATCGAGAGGTAAACCTGCACCTTCTAAAAATTTTGTACACCAGAATCCACCGGAATTCCACTGGAATCCCACATGCCTGTACAAGTGTACACCATGATTTCAAGGTGGTTCACCCCTCCTTATAAATATATTTCAGGGCCTCTGAATCCCTATGAACATCTCATTATTCTTATTACTCTCATACAAACTGGAGAATATATTCTGATATAAAAATTCTTGTAGGTAGTTGCTGTGGGATTTTGCCTACAGTGATATGGGACTGGCCACTTAATACAGCTAGTATAATAGTCATGAGAAGGAATTAGGAAGAAGTTTTATTAATTTCTCATAAATTGTATGACACAATATTCCCTCAGTAGGTATTCATGACAACATTATCAAATTATAAAGGGCAAACAATAGTTATAAAATTATACAGTTGCTGTGATTTTATTCCAATGAGACATTTAATGAATTATCAAATCCTATAATAGATTACCTACCGATATACTTTCCTTGCAGAGTTTACTTAAAATCAGCCATACATACTAGAATTTAATTTGATGGACCTTGTTTTCTGTTTTATCACTATCACAATGATTTCAAGTACCTACCTAATTATATTTAATACTTAGATAAGTTATTGAATTGTTCTTCGGCCATTTTTTTGTAGAAATAAAACCTATAGTCTCTCCTATTTCCTGATCCATACATTCAGTAGTCAGCAGTAAAGGCAAAATCAAAACAAAGTTGAGGTTTGATGCATATACAGGCATTCTCATTTTGTCTCTGAGGTATCACATATATTAAAATATACAGAGATATGAACCCAAAGATCTAATAATTGATCCAGTGATTAAAAATTGGAACTTGAGAAGATTGGACCAAAGAAAGTCTTGGGTGTTTTTTCAGGGGCATAGTCAACTGATTCTTGGGATATCTGGTTTTCATATGGGTAGTGGCTTTTTCGTAAGTTGATATTCGTTCTCTGATACATTCGGAACATACCAAGGGGAATGGGTGACCCATAGAGAAACGTGGTTTGTCTATGGGGTGACCATTCAGGCTACATTATTTTGTAGTGTCTGTATCTTCGAATTGAATGAAAGATCCATACAAGGGAATACTATTTCAAATTATTCGCACATCGAATATAGTATTATTGATTGAGAAATAGTTACTAAAATTCAAAAAATCACGAGATTTCAACACAATTCTTTGGTTTCGGTGAAACTAACCTAACATACTTGACATATTGGCGAAAAGTAAACAAATTCGCATGGGAACACAGAGTGACGTCATTCACGCGGTCGCTGATTGGCTGGAAATTTATAAGGCAACCTATTAACTAGACGGACCTTGGGTGCCAATAAACTGCACAGTGGGCTTGACAATGTTGCCAATTCGGATAGAAAGTTATCATTGATCTGATATTCATTTCTCGATTTTTTCATTTCAGCAAATTATACACAAGTTGTTAGATAACTCAACTAAAACTACTTACTACCTGAAAAATCGTGGTATTGAAAAATTGCATTGCATTATTAGTTAGATGCTTCATTTCTGTTGGAGGATTATTCAAAATCGTAAGTGAAATTAAATTTTGTATTGAATTACAGTGCAGATATTCATGACATTCAGTTGCAAACCCCTTTCAGTAAATTTCAAGTTACTCACCTATATATGAACCTACCTATACCTACCTACCATGAAAAAGAACAAATTCTGTATCAAACAATACTAAATTGGTTCTATTTATATTGATTTTAGTACAAACATCACTGCCTTCTTGTCAATAATATTGAGAAATGGGAACAGAGAAGTTTTGCGGGGAATGGGGTATCTTTGACTTTGCAACATTGCATTAGCGCCAGTTCCTTCATATTTTTCTCTTTTGTAGATATACTTGCCAGAATAGCAATTGAATTCCGGCAATGAATACTTGAGATATAGTACCACTGTTCAATTTGTTGATTATAATAATTAGTCAAGCAAATATCAACATCATAACAAAAACCAAACTATATATAAAAAGCGTCTTACTGTTAGATGCCTGCATCACATTTTATCCTAGCTAATCCTGAAACTAATGAAATACTTCCGAGTTCAGAGTGAATTGAATGTGATAGCACTGAATTACCAATCAACTAATCACATAATACATAGAAATTTCAAATCATGACATGCCTTGCACCTTTGACCATCTTGCACATAGAATACATTCAAGGATTTTAAAGAGACCAGGCAACAGCGGCGTGCTTCCCAGCCGCCACAACTCCAATCACTCAAATTGCAAGAAGACACTGACATCACAGGTCAGTATCCTTTGAATTCATAGGTATTGAAATTGCATTTTCAATATCAAATAATTCATTTGTTGTTCGGTATTTTCGATAAATATATGGTATGGATAACGTTTTTGACTTCCCTTCATAACATTATAGTGAAAAGGGGTCAATTTTTACAATACTGGAAAGACCCATTATCGCCCTAGTAGTTTGCGAGAACATTTGTATCTCGCACACCGTTCAAAATTATAACTCTAATTTTTCTTAAACAATCTCAGACATAATGAAATCACTTACATTTTTCAAACTCTGTAACTTTTCTCTCTATCAGTTTGATGGTTTCAGTATCAACCGATGCAGAGGCTACTGTGGACTGGAATGAAATAGATTAAAGACATAGTCAGTATTCAACATAAGCACACAAAATCGAGCAATAGCATAGAAAAACCTTTGAAATAATGTGTGCAGGGTTTCCAGTGTAAGATCATAATCTGTCAAAAAATCACACCTTGACCTCAATAAGAACCTCACGGTTTTCAATATGAAATGAAAAATTGAATTCCTATCTCAGATTATTATTTTATGTTCCAAGCAAATAAGGAGGGTTTCATGTTAATTCTTATTCTTGATGAATATTATTAAACCACTATTCAGTAACTGCTCCCTATTTGCTTGAGACATAGAAGATGAGATAGGAATTTAATCTTCTTATAAACGTTCTGATATCTCGAAAACTATGAGGTTTTTACTATCACCAGCTAGAGTATGATCCATGGTTTACCGGAGACCCTGTATAATTATTGTAGACATAACTATTTCGCTAACTTTAAATGGATTATAAGCTAACAATGCACAGCACAATTTATTCATGAAAATGCATGCTATTGGAAGAACTGAATGATATTGAAGCACAGGCAAGCTAATAACCAATTTGTTTTGAAATCCCAAAGATTTCAAACAGCCAGGTAATCAGAAATACACTAAGAAAATAAATTTGATTCTTTGGAGAGATAAATATGAACTGTAGGGTGAAATTTACTCACTGTAAAAGTATCCCTACTTTCGATTAAACGTTGGCGGGCTTTGGCTACTTCGCCTGCTAAAGGAGTTAGGGCAGCCTACACCAAAGAAAATACACACTGTAATATTGATGTTAAAAGGAGGGACAGTATCATAACACTATTTTAATAATCTCAATTATACACTCACCGGCAGAAAAAAACGACAAGAAAAAAAAAGCTACATTGATCGCCCTACAACCTTTTAGATTCTTGTCCAATTATAACGACATTTCACCAAATAGTAAATTTATGTTTTGCAAAGTTCTACTGAATAGGCGAGTGGGCTAATTCTTTTTTATTTCTCAAATAGAATCATCACTGAAATACCTTCAAATTACATTTTTCGGTCGATTTTAAGGTGCTAAAATCATCACGGTAATTTTCAAACAGCTAGAAATTTACCGCGAGTAGAAACTGACGTCATGATTTCGCAAGTAGAGGCAGACCATAGCACAGTTGCCATATGTTGAAATGCGATTGGGAACTTCAGAAATATCAGTTATTCAATAATCAATAAATTATCAATTATGCATTAGTAATAAAGCATTAAAAAATCAATTGTCCCAAAATTTTCCCTCGTGTGTTGTGGCTTATTGCTAATAATACATTTGTGTAAATAATAATTATATTGATACACACTAGAGGACATTCGAACTAGTAAACGTGACAACAGGGCGCATGAATTGTCTTGTCAGTTCTCAGCCAGCACAATGTTGCAGAGTCTCCAACATTTACATGATATATTTGGACATGCTGGTTGGTCGAAAAAGTCAATAATGAACTATAATGTCATGGCATCCTCTTATTATCATGTTTTATTCAACGACAGGACTCTAATATTTTTTTGATAACTTGATTATAATTGATGACTTGACAACCTTTAGTAATAAGTGGCTCGTTATTGGTCAGATAGTCTTCCATTTCTACTTATGAAGCAAGGTTGTCAAGTCACCAATTATAATCAAGTTATCAAAAAGATATAGGAGTCCTGTCGCTGAATAAAACATGATAGTAGGAATTATATTAGTTCATTCTTGACTCTTTCGAGCAACCAGCATGTCCAAATATATTCCATACTCCACAACAAAATTTAAGATGAATGTTGGAGACTTGGCAACATTGTACCGAATGATGAGAAGGGACAAGACCACGCCCATAAGTCATGCGCGCGGTGTTGTCACGTTCACTGCTTCAAATATCCTCTAGTGTGAATTGAATTAATATAACTATTTACACATATGTAATATTAGCAATACGTCACTAATAATAAGAAAACTTTTTGCGACAATTGATTTTGTATTGCTAAATAGTACCAATACATAATTCTAGAAAATATGAAATCGGAAGGTATTTGAGTGATGATTCTATTAGGGAAAAAAAATAGGCCAATTGCCTGAGTGCCAATAATTCATTATCAGTCCACTGGCCCATTCAAGATCAAAAGAGAAGCTGATGGCTTAAAGTTTCTCTCATCATTAAATTGTTAACGCCCTGTGACAAATGTGAGGGATTACACTTAGCTTCATCTTGTATTAGATTGAAGTGTGATCTCTTCTCAACACAGTTATTGTTCTTGATTGGCATGAATATCTTACTTTTAAGGGAGATTTCAAGGGTTTAAAGAAAGTATGGAGTTGTTTGAATGTTTAAAACAATAATTCAGTACCTACATGAACTTATCCATTAACCCTTTGTGTGCCAGTGGTTCCACTGTGGAACCACCTATCAAATGATTTTTTCCTTGCGGACAAGTAAGCTTCAACTGGGAACACATTTCCACATGCTGAGTAGTGGGGGTAGGTGGGCACACTGAGTGCAGTTCCAATCCTAATTTGCCATTTGTAGTTGAATGTTTATAATTCTGGATGTTTATGTCCACAGTGCATTAGCACGGAGTCATTTGATTTGCGTCCTCTGGCTGAGTTTGATGATATGGCAGGTATGTAAATGGTTATTTTCGTTAGTTTCAATGTACATGAACATACTCCTACATTAGTTTGCTGAATTTTGCAATTTTTCACTTGATTTCTGGTAGTTTTGTGAGGTGGTTCCATCGTTCCATGCGGGACCACCAGTACACTCCCATAATATTTTTTGTAGTACACTTCTATAATATTTCTTGTACTTCAGGCAGATCATTTGATATTTCTGAGCTGAACAAATCACCAGTAGATAATCTTTTCACCTTATTGGAGAAAATTCCATGGGGTGATGAATCCGTTCAATCAGTTCACATGGACAATTTTTTCAATTCTGTTTTGTTACAAAGAAATCTGCAGAAATACAAAATTTATAGTTGCGGTACTGCACGAAAAGATAGGAAATAGTTTCCAAAGAATTTGTCAGATGATAAATGTATGAAGAGGGGTGATTAGGATTGGAGAATTACTGACTCTGGAATAACTGCTCTCAAATGGAAAGATAATAAACCTGTACATTTTCTAAGCAAAGAAGTCAGGCTTGCTGTTGCGAATGGGCTGATTGGAGCGGATCCCGCAACTCCCCAGAGAGGCAGAAAGGGCCTTGGTCTCATTGTCAACAAAATATGAGTTGCCTTAGAACGACGTATAAGTAAGGCCGCGCACATGCCAATCCATAGCAATAAGGTCAGATGCGCCAACTGTAGTTCGAAGAAAGAACTGCATAAATCTAGATGGCACTGCTCTTCGTCTAACGTTGGACTATGTCTTACGAGTATTAAAAACTGTTTCGAATCATTTCATAAAAAATTACTTATAACTCTTCATAACATCATGTTTCTTCTGGCAAAATAAATTTTCAACAATTACTGAAATATTACCATTATTTCCCCAGTGATGCCTTAATGGAACCACCTGATTCTGTCAAATCTTTGTGTGCTATAATTTTTTTTTCATCAGGAAGTCGTTCAATTGATATATGTATATAGAGTATAATTTTGACCTCAAAATTGATTTTTTCGAAAAAAAAATAATTTGGGCCACAAAGGGTTAACAACTTACAATAAAAAATATGTTTAAATCAATATCCCTAATTTAAACATCATTTTATTAGCCCCCACCAACAAAACATCTCAATTGCAAAAAAAAAACAAAAATCAGAATCACTAGATGCAGGCAAAAATAAGATTGTCCTCCTGAAGCTTGAACATTCCAGAAAATAAATCTATGATTTGGAAAGAATTTCACCAGAATCGGACAAGAACTAATACATTTACATGTTTTTCTGGTTGTTTTTTTGTTGTTGGTAAGTGTATCCATGTGGAATCTTTTATATAAATAAAATATGTGGCTCAAATACAGTATAGTCACAGTTGTATAGTGAAAGAATAATGAAATGTCCCACAATGGCCACAATCAATAATTAATACTGAAATTGAAATGGAAACCTAGTCCCAAGTTCACTCTGTCCTTATATTATCCTTGTCCTTATATTATTATATTATATATATTATCTAAATGAGACTAACTCCTTCACGGCCTCACTAGTTGAGCTTTGTGACCAGTTGGACCTGACAATGATTTCAGTTTCAGGGCAGGTCCAGATAAATCCTGGTTTTGGATATCTGTGAGGAAGGGCTGAAGCTGACTATCTACACCTTAACCAGATATATATTTGCAGAAACAAATGAATGTATATACTTGGAAACAATCCAGGTGTCCTTGAATATCTCAGCATAAGGAATGGGACTACCTAAGGAACCTAATTTACTGAGCAAAATATTGGCAATGGGTTTCAACATTAGAACCTCACATTTCATAATCAAATACTTCTACTGGGCTGAATCACCACTTGTGTCCATAAAAGAATAATAGCATATCTTCTGGATCCCAGGAATGAAAAATTAGGTATTATATAGTGGGACTATTCCTGAAGGCAAGATGTCAGACCATGAAGGAGTCACTTTTTATGAAAATATGTATGAATCCATATTTTGTACCCCAGAATCAGAAGTACACACTATATTTGTTGTCTTAATATTATTGTGCAGCAGATATTTCAGATTAGTAAAAAGTCTGAAATGGTATTCGCATCATAAAACTATTCATGATTTTCCCTTTTTTCTGTTAGTATAAATGACCCATATGACCACAAAAATAACTCACTTTGGCCAAATTCTCAAAATGGGCGATTTCAGCATCCTCGTAGATCTTTCTGGTGATCCAGATATCTTCGGTTTGTAAATTAGACATTTTCTACAAAAAAAAGAATGTTTTAACACATACACCCAAGGTGGATAGAATAATCTTCTGTTCATCCGGCATACACAACATATGCCCTATGCCCAATGATTTTAGGTTATGTTCATGACAGAAATAACATTTTTTCGCACTCCTTACCCCTTACCAAGTTCTTGTTGATTTATAAGCGAAGAAAAAATGTTTGATATTGCTTTCGTTTCTGAGGCTTTATTTGTCGCCAGAACCTGTGCCAGAACCTCAAGATATTGGACCTTATTTTTGAAAATGGCAAGATCTCAATCAAGACCAAACCAAAGCCAAGACCTCTGAAATTGAAAAGGAAGAAAATAGATTAATTAACTAGAAAGTGAGATGCTCACTAGAAAGATAAAAAAACAATAGTTGCGTTTAATTTGTTCCATTCTGGTAGCGGTGGTGGGACTGGTGGGAACAGAATGACGTTTACAAATAAAGCGCGAATCTTCATGACCTTGCATGGGAGAATTATATGGGGAGAATTCACATAACAGGTTATATTCATATATTGGGGCATTGGGGCTTAGATCATACTGTATACATGTATCTATTAATTACCACATATATAACTGTATGATCTAAGTATTGGGGCTCCAAATAATTTCAAAATCATGATACTAGAGTTGAGAATCTAGAAAGTCAATCAACGAATATTTGGAGAAGTGATTGTGGTGATTTGAGAAACTTCTCTGAGATAGAGAGAATTTATTTTATCTGGGAATGAACATATTGAACCTATCTTACTTGAGAGAATCTTAAACTCGTGAACCTCACGATGATAAAGTCTTCTAAATGTCTTCTACTTTCAAAAGGTTTAGTTTTTCTTCAAGATGAAATGATTTTTTGATAACTATCAACTGTCATTCCATGTCATTCCTTGTAGAGAGACGGAATAAAAAGTAGCGACCGGAATCGGAAAAATTACAAATAAAACGACACATTAAAGTGATTCCGGTGGCTAATCAGATAAATAAAACGCAACTATTGGTAAAACTGGCTTGCACTGAGTGCATATTGATATTCCTTTGGTAAAACTGGTGTCGGGTTTTGAATTCAAGGTCTGTTCGCTGTGCCTCCAGTAACTACAATATTGTACACCAGTGTTATATGGTGTACAATCACACAGTGTTCGTTGTCAAAGTGTTGTAACACAATGAATGGGGATAACTTACTTATGAAACATATTACACTTTATCTGGAGGAGGTGTGAGAAGTATAGTGCAGATATTTGTTAGGAGGTTAGGAGTTTGGTTTTGAAGCATAAAAAACAATCTCTGTTTTTTTGTATCATTCAATCATTTTGATCAACGTTTCTACTCCTGAGATACCACTACTGATAAAACAGATTTCATTGATTGCTCCTCGTAAGAAAAACTTGTAACTGATTCACTATCTGAATTCAAGAAACTGTAAATGATTTCATCATCACTGTCCATTTATTTTAGTTAAAAGAGTTTTTATAATGCAATTAAAATACGCAAAATCCTACTACTCACCACACTCCACTCCGCTACACTCGTCCAAGCCATATGGTGGAGGGTCGAAATATGTAGCGTACAATATGAATTTCATGCAGAAACAACGAGGTCAGTGCATTGCAAAATTTCGACTTTTTCTCAAAATTTCGAGATTCAATAATATTTTTCTATGTGGCACCAGCACGCCGCGTGTAAGTTTCTACATAAGGAAGAATAAGTCTTTTTTTAACAATCTAATATGATTATGATATAAGCAGAAAAGAAAATATATATTATCCTTCCTCTTCATATATATAAGGATGAGACTACTACTTTCACTGAACAATAACCTGAAGGAGAATTCGAATTCTCAACTCAACAAGAATATTTTCATCTCCAAATTTTCAATACATTTTTTTATCTTTTCGAGTGCACGAAAGAGAATCCCCTTAATATTCGAGGAACATACATCGTGCATATATACCTACAGGGAGGATTTTCTTGGACTTTTGGAGGTTATATAAGTTCTTGGATCAGAAAAGTAGTTGTTTTTTTGTTGAATATAGAGATAATGCGAACTCTCAAGGTATTCCTTTATATGTAGGTATGAGTATTCAATAATTACTTTCATTATCTAAGCCTAACTTGGCCTAAATGAACCTCCTTCCTGGTAAATATATTTTTCGGAAAATTACTTGGGGCTTGAGAGAATAAAATAAAAAATCAGATGGGCACGGTGTAGCCAAAGGTGCGTGTAGTCGTATCAGGCACGCGTGAATTTTTCAACGTTGTGATTGGTCTCACTAAAAGCCTGACCAAAGCAATATTCTTTTTACCTTGTTGCATTCTCACTACTGAGAACAATTGAGTTAGAAGGAGGTGAGACGGATCTGAGTTGTCGATTGAATAAAAAGAACACGTTTTTATCTGTCAGGAGGGGCAAGGGAAAAAAACATAACCCAACATAATTCAACCAAAATGCGAAATGGCTGATGAAATTAATGAGGAGCATAGAAATATTATTTTAGTGAGTATCCAAAAGAATTAACCCGGGGACTGGAACTTTAAAGCTGAAAGCATGTCAAAATGAAAATATAACCTCACAATTTTCAGCACAGAACCACAAAATTACTAGAATTGATCCAATCTCACCTTTTTCTCACTACAGCATCAGATGAATAGCAAGCTCAGTTGGGGCGAGGACCTTGGGGTGAGGGGAAAGAAATAGTCTCAATAAGTTCTTAAGACAACTCACATCAGACTTAGTTAAATGAAACATGCAATACAACTGAGGTATTGAGCTGCACTGAGAATCTTGGTTAATCTCAGTCAAAGCTGGTAAAAAGAATATTACTCATTTTGAGAAGTGCCTAAATCTTTCGAGTCATTCCCATCACCTGATAATTATTGTTCGCAATAAAATTGTGGAGACTGAGTTTGGTCAGGGAGTATCATTCTGGCCACTAATAGCATGGCATGAGCCCACTGTGATCATTTGTATAGTGATTTAGGCTTTCAAGAATGTTTTTTTCTTCCTCTCCAGACCCCGAGGGTCTCGTTAATATTTCTACGAGCGAATGCCCTTGCGTTCATAGAGAATCACGTGATTCACTGTGGCCAATCTGACAATGAGGTTTCGGAATGGTTCGAAAACTTTAGGATCTCGTAAAAGTTCAAGGAATCACGCCATCTAACATTCAATATGTGAACCCCACGTCATCGTCTGAAAACTGTGCTCATATCAAGAAACCTTAATCGAAATCGAGCACAAGAACTACTAACCTAACCAGTAACCACTAACCTAACCAGTAACCAGTAACAGTAACCACTAACCAGTCTCAATCTCAAATAAATGTAAAGAGAATGAGCGCACTCATACTGGAGAATATGTTTATAAATCCTTGCAGTGAACTGAATATTGTTTATGTTTATCCCACTTTAATTCTTAATGATTGTTAATATCGTTATCTACGAGTTATCTCGAGTTATGTATTTAACGCCTACTCCAGTAGCCGGTCTTGTGCTTGTGACTTCGAAAAGTGATGATCAAGCAGAATTCGAAAATAACAGACCCTGAACAGACCCGGCAATTTTGAATATTTGAAATGATCAAATTGAACATCGGGATTTTTGTGTTGATGCTATTGTTGCTATTACTTGACATCCCATATAACACTGCTTTGCCCCTACAGCAATTACATGTGGTTAGTACCTAACTTATTATCACATACATTATAATAAATAATTGCCCTAAGAAAATCTGATATATATATTATATATCTAATTATAATTTTCATAGCTTTTCAGACATGGTGAAAGATCACCCACAGAGACATACCCAAATGACCCATATATTAATCACACATGGCCTGATGGTTGGGGCTATTTGACAAATGTGAGTAATATATTATAATAAAATAACTGTCAAAAGTATATGTATAATAATTTCATAGAAACCTTTTAGATCTTTCTGGAAGATGAAATGAGGTGTATTACTTTTTCCAGACAGGAAAGTTACAAATGTACTCTCTGGGTATGACCATCAAAAATCAATACAAGCATTTTATTCAGGACACCTACTGGCCTAAAGATATCAATATCTCCAGCAGCTATTCAGACAGGTGCAAGATGAGTGGACAGCTATTTTGTGCTGGAATGTTCCCACCTACTGGGGAGCAAATATGGAATGATGATTTACTTTGGCAGCCAATTCCAATAAATTATCTCCCCAGAAGTGAAGATATTGTATGTCCCTTTATGAAATATTGTTGATCAGCAAATCAATATGTGCATATTATGTTCTATTGTAGACTATTGCAATGAAAGCAAAATGTGGAAAGTATGATGAACAATTGAAAGAAGCAAGAGTTTCACCAAAAATTCTAGAACTAGAAGCAGCTCATCATGATTTATTTGAATATTTGACAAAGCATACTGGTAAACATATAAGTAACATAGAGGATGTTGAATTTTTATTCAATACCTTGGAAATAGAAGGACTGAACAATATGACTTTGCCTGACTGGGTCAATCAGTCCATGCTGGCTACAATGGAAAAATTGGCAGCAAGAAATTTGGCTTTGTATTCTGAAACAGAATACATGAAGAGGATGAAAGGGGGTACATAATTATGATTTTCTCTAGGCATTATATCTAATAAGTTAGTACTGAGATTCTGGTTGTTTCAAGTTGTTGCCGTCAGGTGGAGTGACGTCATATTTTCTATCAAGGTTTCTACAAATAATCATCAATTCTGCCAACCTTGATAGTAGAAAAATGAAGAAAAAATAGCAAAACATCTCAAACTTTCCCAGAAGTTGTATTTTACTGTTGAATGAATTTATAAAAATTTGCCCCCTCCTACAAGGCCAGCAATTGAAATTGTTAAAAATGTGAATTATCAACAATTGTGGCAAAATGGTGTCGAAACAAAAGAAATATAATCTTTCTTGAAAATTTCTCTGAAAAGTTGCCACTTCCGCCGATAACGGCAACATATTTTTTATTTTCCTTCAAAGTCCGAATAACAGAGGCAGTTTTTCACTCATAAAGTGGATCATTATTGAACACAATAAAACATTCAGAATAATCTGAATCATTTCCTGTGGGAAAATTCTGTGCTGTGTGACACCACATTGGATAAGATATTGTGACAGTGGGCATGCACATGTTATTTAAATAATCTTGGAAATATTATAATATGCAGATGCACATGCCGGTTGTGCGTGTATAGTAACCTCAAAATATATTTTTGGAAGATATTCAAAATTGAAGAATTGTATAAGTAATATAGTTCCTCTTACAAAACATCTGTCTGCAGTTCTGCAAAAGTGCTATGCTCAGCGTATTTGTTTGAAAAAATCGGAATGGAAAAATATAAAAAAATTGTCTTGTGAATCGCTCCAAAGAAAAAACACCCGTGGGCCAGATACAAAATGAACACCTTTCTGGAAACCCTGTATTGTTTTCATTCTCGGAAATGATTCAAAACGTTCGAAAATGTAACTGATGATGATTGGAAAGTAAATTGAAACACGGATCTGTATCGTACGATATCGGGAAAGTAGTTAGTTCGAGGTCACGCAGTAATTGGTAGCAAAATTTGGAGTGTGAAAAAAACGCTAAAAATTCGCAAACTACTCAAAATTGAATGTGTAATGGTTATTTCAATTTGCTACCTCGTGACAGGTTTTGCATCCCTCCTACAGGGGTTATTTTGAAGGTTTTCGAAAGATGGTGAATACAAAAGTTTTTCATTCTGATTATTCAGAGAAATTGAAATAATCATTACACATTCAATTTTGAGTAGTTTCCATGGATTTGCGAGTCTTTTGCGTTTTTTGCACACTCAAAATTTTGAAACCAATTACTCTGTGAGCTGTAATTAACTACTTTCTCGGCGATATTGTACGAGGGATCAAATTCAGATGCATATTTCAATGCTAGTTCCTAATCATCAGTTAAATTTGCGAAAGTTCTGTATTTTTCATGAGAATGGGAATGGGAAAATTGGGAAACGATAAAGGATTATATATCGCTTCTTTGTTTTGACCATTTTGCGACTTTTTTCCATTTCTTCTCTGCAAAATAACCACAATTGTTTTTAATTCACATTTTCAACATCGTTGCCGGCCTTGCACGAAGGGTAATTTTTTTTAGTTCTATTTAAGACTAAAATGAATCTTCTGTGGAAAGTTTAAAAATGTTTTGCTAGTTTTTCTCCATTTTTGCTAAAGTAATTAGCCTATGGATAGTTCTGACAACTTAGAAAAATATTATGAAAATAGAAGGCTCTGAAATGAAATACCTACCTGATATTTTCGCTTTTGTGTTTGAATTGGTTGCTCTTAGGAATATCAGTAATTCATGAAAAATGTCTTCTTGCAGGAGTTTTTGTGAAAACTGTAATTTCTTCTATGGAAAGAATTTCAGAAGGTCAGAGTGAACCATATCTGAATCTATATGCAGGTCATGACATAACTTTGGTTCATGTTCTCAGAGCGTTAAAACTTACTGACACTATAAAACCGGGATTTGGAGCATCCTTAATCCTGGAGCTGTATTCGGATGGTGAAATAAAGGTATTCATGAGTCTTCCTTTAGATATTCTATTCATACTCTTTATTTCAGGTTATTTATCGAAATTCGTGGGATGGTAGCCCAGAGAATATGTCACTTCACCATTGTTCTCCTCCATGTCAAATTAGTGCTTTTCGAAAATCGCTAGAATCGGTTCTACCACTGAACTGGGCAGAAGAATGCAATCTAGAATAGTTGCTGGATGAGGTAAATACCTTGTTAACATTTTCATATTTTTGATACTTTACTTTTCTTCTCTTCCTGTCTATATATCTATTCATTAAAAAAAGATAGATTTTTAAATGCTTCAGACAGGCCAAATGTGGCAAAGGTCCACACATGTAGGTACCTATATATTTATGGAAAAAAACGTGAGAACACAAATAACATTAGGTAAATTGCCCATACACGCCTCGCAAGAATAATTCACCTATAGAGAAACCGTGCATATATAGTTTAATGGATATTTAACAAAGAAGGAAATGCGTCGTTGCCTCACCTACTCGATGGCACGTATGAACGATAATCCCTTCGGTCGGGTCGAAAAATGGACTCGCTGGAAGGAGGGGTTAGCGCTATATGAAGCGTATGGCGACGTCGCTTTTCTAAAATGCCTATGCACAGGGATTTCTCTATAAGAAAATTATTCTTGCCAGACGTGATGAAAAATGATACTTTGCATTCTGATGAGCCGGCTAAAAAATCTACGCATGCGCATATTAACAATAATGTTATTTACAGGGTGATTCACCATAAATGTCCCCCCCCTCTAGCTCAGTTATTTTTGAACCGATTTCAAAATTTGAAATATTATCTCAAATGATTTTTGATGAAGTTTTTTTCTGCTACATCAGATGATACAGGGTGCTCGGAACAAACGATCTATAGAGTACTATTTGATTTTTTTAAATGAAACACCCTATTTTTCATTGTATTTTTAGATTCTCCCTGAAGAGCTGATTTGATCGATGTATCACACTCGGGGTCAAGCGGGAATGATTACAGAGATATGGAAAATTTTATAATATACAGGGTGCTCAATTTAAAATTACAAAACCGGAGCCATTTCCCGTGAAACTGGGAATGACCGGGAAGTGAAAAATATACGAAAACTGTCCTCTTCATATACTATTCATTTTGATACACCGAATATCCTAGATGTATCGGCTTGTCTAATAGATTAGTTGACACCCGGTATTTCTGATTTGTTTCCCTTTGTTCCCCATCCTAACTGGCAAATGTGTCCATGGAATGATGTTACCTCATGGCCTATAAGTTATTCACGGCGGATTTACAGTGGTTATGAAATCTTGCATATCTCCGTTTAGAATAATTATCTAGTACAGTTCGAGGGAACGTCATAAAATGTGAATAAATGTTTGAAATTATGCATTTTTTAACTTCCCTTCATAGGGTGTCCCAATATTATCGTTTATATCCAATGTTCACTTATTTGAAAATATGAAAACATGAATCGGAAACTCCTTTTATTGTCATTCTAATACACTTCACCAACCTTTGAGAACTACCCCCCAACTTTTTTCATCAAATTACAGAGACCGTATGTACCAATCTCGGATCTCATTCAGGATATCAAGTAATAATTTGGAAAACTTAGTTTTCAGAGTTTTGCTATTACTTAACATAATAACTACTATATGAGTTCGATATGTCGCTTTACCCTGTATTTAGGATGAAATGACAATAATGCATTTTCAATGAAAAATTCCGATGACGAATAGTTTGAGAGAGCCCTGGAAGGCTGGTAAAAGTAGTCTTTCAAACCTAATTAGAAGGCACACTATTCTTCTCAATTAAGCGAAATGTCGCAGGCAAACGATAACTTGAGACACATCACTGTATACAGGGTTCCCTAGAATATCTGGAAAGATAATGCAAAGAGTATTCCAAAGGGCATTATTAGAAAGCCCTATTCATCGCACCCTTGAAACCTTGTTTATTGTTTTATTTCATAAACCCAAAATATTACCCCATACTTGAAAATTATAAATACCTCCATGTATATTAACTAAATACTGTTTTCCTAACTCCATATTCATTTTGTCATGAAAAAAATCAAATAAAAAATAATGAACCGGATTTGTAATACTTAGATTAATTCTAAGTGGAATCCATGTCTAATACTGTACCTATAGAGTGATATAGACTCATGGAAGATCTCCTCTTACATAATTTTAGAAATATTTTTTTTTATTCCAAGTATTGGGAGATATGACGTCATCGATGATTTCTTTCGAATGGGTTACCTTTTTTTCATTCAATGTTCGAATTTTACATGGAACTATATAGAATGCTACATGAAGCATTTTTGGAAATGAGGTTTTATTCAATATGAAGATGAAATCATCGACGGTACATATCATCTGAACGGCTCGCCCTCTATAGTTGACGCCCAATTTTGGTCGGCCTTATGCTGGCCAGAGTTGACCAGAACGGCAAAATTCCTGTGAACATTGATAGGCCAGTACCAAAAGGAGACTCTGGCCGTCATCAGGGCCAGTACATGTCTGCTGAAATATTCAATGAAAAAAAGACGACCGCCACACGGGATTCGAACCCAGGTCCTCCGCTATCACTTGGTCACAAATCGAACTTATATTCCAACTGCTCAGCTACTACACCTTTATTGAAATGATATGTGTGTACGGTATTTAGTTGCGGTTAACTTTCGAATAGGAATATTTCATCAATAATTATCATCGTCATAACAGATATATACAAACGATGAACAAGGAAAAACATTCGATTCTCCGATTGACTTACCTATTTTTTATGGTCGAATTTGATGACTTCCATGATGATATTTAAATGCAAAACGGCAGAATAGCGCAGTGGTTGAGCGTTCGACTAGCAATTAGAACGCCGAGAGGTTGTTAGGTTCGATTTTTGGCAGAGCAGCAGATTTTTATTCATAAAACGAACTATAAATTTTAATTTTCGTAGCCTCGGCCGGAGATGATTGTGCACGATTCGCTGTTGCGTTTCAATCAACACACATGAGCTGAAGGACCTCTCGTAAGGTGGATGACCATTTTGTATGTACATACATACCAACGAAGTACATATACTAAATGCAATGAATAAACATAGTAGTAGTAGGATATGTACTTGGTTGGTATATGTATGTACATACCAACTGGCCATCAACCTTACGAAATGTCCTTCGGCTCATTAGTGTTCTGAGTAGGCTTCGATACTAACTCCATACGCCATCTTAGGAGCAGCACTGTTAATTGAAACGCAACAGCGAAACATGTGGAATCATCTCTATAACTCGTTTCATATATAAAAATTCTTTGCTCTTTCTGGGATTTGAACCTAGTAACCTTTCGATGTTCTGATTACTAGTCGAGCGCCTCAAACACTGCGCTATTCCGCCGTCCTAAAAATCAGATTTTTCAATTGAAACTGAAATATAATCATACTCTATTTGGCACGGTGCCGGTTAGATTATAGTTGAACGATTTCAATATACCATATAATGGGTAGACGATTGTATGACGTAAGTAAAAAAATAATACGAATTGACACTACTGGCCCAGTGCCGGCTGCATTATAGGCAAACGATTACAATATGCCATACGACGTTTGACCAGTGAAGCTTGGCCATTGCCAGCAATCTGCCGATCTATCATGCACTGGGCCAGAGATTTGATGTTTGCTGGGCGTATTTCAGCGTTTTCATTTTCACCTAAATTTCAAATGAATTTCTGTATGAGTTATTGGTGAAAAATATGCACCATATTGAATAATTTCTTGTCTATATTCTTTTAAACATGATGAGGAATGAAATGAATGGACTATTGTTTAATATATTTATTTAATTAGAAATTCCACTTCACAATGAATAAATAATGCATTGATATCATGATGATAAAAAACATCTGATATGTATCTAATATTTAATTAAGAGACCAGCCTTGTACATGATATGTTTTCAGTATGGGAGGTACTTTAGAGAAGTTATCTTATCGCGCACCAAACACAAACATGTCCACTACCGGTCGAAAAAATATATTTGTAAACTTTATAAATATATATATATATATTTGATGTAGGTATATATATCTTATATTGACTTAGATTATAATTTTTCGCGTTGCGGATGTGATTGTGCTGGTATTTTCTGGATGGCGGATTCCGCGCTCATCTTCATATGTAGGTGGTAAATGTCAGGTCGTTATCTTGAGAGAGCTGCGAAATCCGGCACCGAATAAGATATGTACAAAGAATCACATGGGGACTGCTAGGTTGACGACAGGCCGTTAGGGTTGAGCGCATTAGGCCCTTGGAACGCCGTGCCTGACAACCTGTCGTAGCCTGCTCGAAGACCTCTCCAAGACACGAAAAACAGTAGAGCAGCAGGCCGTTCGTTACCCTGCACCATTTTGTCGCAACATACTTTTCGCTACTCTGCTGTCTTCTCTTCCTCGGAAAGGTGTTCAAGCTTAAGTGAACCGGGCCCGCCGGTAGGGATTGTTTCAATAAAGTCCTAATCTTAACCTGAAAAAATTAGTGCCACATTAACTGTAATGGGAGTCGTATCTCTCATAATATTTAAATATATATATATACATATATATGTATATACCTACTCTACTCTCGAGTGATCACAATAATGACAACAACAAGAGATACAACTCTTTAAAAACATTAAGATCTGAATTAACATTTACTCACTAATTAATAAATATAAACCTGTGTAAAGTGATCACACATCTCCTTACAGAATAACAATACACTTAGTATGATATGTGCCGTTTCCAAAGACCTTAGGTGCCTTGATATGTATTCATAAGTCTGTTTATTGGCCGTCGATTGATCGGCTCCCTTTAAGAGACAAAAAAGGGCTCTTTGCCTATGTATGATTCAAGGGAATGATAGGGGACGGATCATAACGGACTCTGCTGCTGAATAAGGAAACAGACAGGCAGACTAATAAGGAAGGTAAGAGTAGAAATTTTTACTTAAAGGAATATGGGGCTGAGGATGAGCGAAGAGCAGGGTAGCAGCAGGGTCGAGTATGGTTCAGTCTAAAAATCCCGTGTTCACCAATTTTTCCAAGAAGAATTTCACGTCACCCAACTCGGAATCTTTGATCCCTAACGATTTCAGCATTCCCAAATCGCCATTTTCTACGGCCATGAACACCGAACGCAAGTGCTCCAAATCTGACCTCATCAAGTGTAGCGCGGCCCCGAAGTCTTCGATTGTTTGCGATTCTATAACAGAAAAACAAAAAAAACTATATGCACGGTGTTTCTGCACCGAAATCTTCGGTGAGGTGATTACCAAGGTAAACATGACAAAAAAGTCTCAACATGGGTCCTAAAATCCTTCCTTAGGTAACTTTAGTACCACTGAGGGTGGTTTTCCTTTGATATCGCCGACACCAGTCAGTGGATAGGTGTCGGGGATAACGACGAAGGTTGTTACAATCGATAAGCATTTTATGGTTGGTCAGATGGTATTGTGAATAAATCACCAAGAAGTGGTTCAAACTGGGGGAACTTTCTCGGTAACTTTTTTGTACTATTTTGTCTGGAATTTTTGACAACATAATAATATTATGTCAAACATGTACTGAACAACTGGACTGCAAGAAGTGTTTCAAGCTCCTGGCAGAAACTACCAAAAGTTCTCATTCCAAGGCATCCATATACATCCTTCTATACATCCTTCGAAAAATATGTCACCAAACAATTGTTAGACTACAGCAGGGATGACCTACGCTATCTAACAGGCCTAACTGCATATCATTATTGTCTGAATTATCATATGTCAAGACTTGGACTGTCGGATGATCCGGTGTGTGGTGTCTGTGCATTATAATATTTCAAACATACACTGAACACCAGGTCTAAAAGAGGAGTTTCAAACTTCTGGCAGAATCTACCACAATTGGCTCATTCCAGGGCAATCATACATCCTCCGAATAATGCCACCGAACAAATATTAGACTACAACAGGGATGACCTTTAACGCTCTCTGACAGGCATACACTTACAGGTCACTATCGTCTGCATCATCATATGTCAAGACTTATTAGACTGTTGAATGATCGGGAATTCCGCCTTCGTCTCGAAGATGATGAAATAGCAGGTTAGGTTGTGAGTGGGTCTATTCAGCCCTCCACTGAAACAGCAGAGTATAATTATACTTTGTGCCTGCCCCGCCGCATCAGGTTTTCGCTGTTTCGCAGAGTTTCACTCTCGCCCTCGGACCGGAAAGATAATTCACAAAGTAAACTAATCGGCTTCATTAAGAAGCTGGATCTACTTGGTGAAATATGAGTCGGTGGGAGCCACAATAACCATTACGGGTCGCAATGGAGGACCGAATAGACCGATTCACCTTGAACCCAACCTAACCTAATATTTCAACACATTTCACATAATCGAGGTGCTCTTGTTGAACGCTGGATGCTTCTCTCGTAAACTTGATTTAAAATTGTTGTTGTTTGGCTTACGCAAATTGTTTCCATTAAATATCTCCGACACCGTTCAATGTATATTCTTAGAACGTCTGATTGAACATGCAATCTTTATTGATCCTGCCAAGTTCCGTTTCTATCTATTCAAGGGTGCCGAAGATATTGAATGAAAACCATTCTCAGTGGACCATCTTTGAGCGGCTGTAACTTTCCGAAAAAATACTTTCGGACCCATGTTGAGAACTTAAGACCTAAGATTTAAGACCATTCATCAGAGACAGTTCACCACCTATCCCAAAAATGCACCATACACCAGAATAATCTGTTAGATATGGACGGTTGATGCAGACATAAAACTGGATGGAATTGATAATTCTCAATGCTTATGGTGAGGCACAAGAAGGTTGAATTAGCCTCACCGTGTCCCCAAATGGGGACATCCTATTCTAATATCAATTTAATATAGCTCAGATTGTATTCATTTCTATCTAAAATCAAACTCATATGATATGCTAGTATGTTGAAAATTAACACGCTTTTGTAGTCATTTGAGGAATATTGTGAGGAAGTGGGAATCAATAAAATGAAAATTATTTATGACAGTGGGAATATGAACTTGTAGAGCTCCGTTCTGTAGTTTTCCTTGGTGACATTTCAATTGCGCACCTGTCAAAATTACTTCGTTGTGTAGAAAAAAGGTGAATTTGAATAATGATTATTCAATCAATTACTTTTTGAGTATGTCATACACTATAGGAATGCAGCGCGCTGTACTGTTTTGTGGACATTGTTAGTCAACGGCACCAGCTTTCAAGATACATATAACCCTATTTCAATTCTCTCTCATTTCTTTTAGTGTGTCATCAATGGCCAAAAGACCTATTACTGGTTGAATAAGGGTTTTCAGATGGAATATAATGTCCATAATGTGATCGCTTGATATTTCGTATGACAGAGTTCAGAGAATTCTTATTCCATTGGTTCACTTTGTCCCTATTTGAGTACAAAAATGATTATACTAAAATGTATAAAAAATCATAGAATCTGTATGAAAAATTCTCAGATTGTTACTATTGAGCTATTAATTCGTGAACGAGAGGGCAATTCTAGATCAATATGTACTATATAAATACAAAAAGCTCGAAAGTCATTTCCATTCATAAAATAAACAACAATGGTAGATTTCGGGAGAAAAATAACTACTTTCTTTTTTTCTGGCTGATGCCACGCAGGAACATTGAATTACATCCTCCCGAAAACAATGCATCGACTCGTATAAACGAATACTCTGATACAAGTGATTCTCTTGAATGCCTATTGATTTCGATTTAGCCAGTCCACGCTAGATACCTACTGGCCGGTTTCGAGCTCTGTGACTCTTATCAGTGCAGGGCAGTCTCCAGCCAGCAGTCCTATAAGACCGACGACTTTAAGCGTAGCCTAGCCAAACAAAATTCAAGTCGGCATTCCCTCAGAGGCGTCCTTCATAGACAATATGAGAGCAACGCCATCTGAGTAGAAAAGAAGGAAAGAAACACTCCAAAACCAAAATTCTCATACGGGAGTAGCTGGTTGCCCGACTGACTAAGGCTGTGTCAAGTCATTCGTTCCACCACAGTGGTAATGCCATGATGGCCAATGGTTGACTCGACTCCCACCAAAAGTTAACGTGGTAACTTTGTGGGCAGGTTTGAAACGTGACCGATATTCCCAAACAGCTGGTTGGTCAAACCGATGGTCAGACTTCATACTGAACGTATGTGCCCGGTCAAACCACAGACTTGACACAGCCGTAATTTCGAATGATTGAGATTTTTGTCTTTATTTAACATTTCATTCCACTTCGAGCATTGTGGCTATTTCGTGGTTGAATGTGTAATGTGTAATAGGGTTGGGGTACTCACCAGATAGAGCTATTGCAACTTTGTCAACCCCTCCTAGGGGTTTCAGGGCGTCTCTGGCCTTGCTGCCGAACAGCTTCTCCAAGTAGTTCGGCCCGTGGCTGGCTAGGAGGGATTTCAGGAAACTTCCGGTCTCCTCTACCGGAGGCCTTTTGGCCGCCGTGCACAGTCGGGAGTCTTCGTCGTAGCCGTCTGGACAGTCCGGCGCGCCGTCGCACAGGTACTGTATGGAGATGCAGTTGCCATCTCCGGGACATTTGAATGGTTCGTATGGGTGACACGCATCACCTATGGAAAGCAATGAATTCGAGATCAAGTTTAGCGAAGTAGAGGCATTTTCACTGGAGTAACTATGGGCGGGCCTGGGAGGTCCGCCCCCCCCAGGTCTTGTCAGCCTCCCTCAGAATTTTTCAAATAAATATCCGTACCAAATGAAGTAGACACGTATCAAAATATTTCATCATATATTTTTACATTAAAAATATCGATGAATTTCACAAGATACAATAATAAAGACGTCCCTGTCCGCCTGTCCCTACAAGCAGCGAAGCAGCACGAGTGTGGTCTCCATCTCTTCACATTTTACATTCTGTGATGTGATCCCAAATTATAACATTATTACTTATAATGGAATCTTAAGGACAACTCTTTCTATTCTTTGTCATTTTAGGCTGTATGAATTGACTTTCCTTTTTGAAAATTAGACAAAAACACGTACATCTTACTTACAAACTACCAGTGTATATTCACTGTAAAAATAATGGAGTAGACAATATTATTAACAATTTGTTCCCAATGCTTCGGAATTCTTTACCAATAAGTATTCCCAAGAACTTACATCCAAAAGTTGAAAAAAATTCCAAAAAAACTTTCCGTAGATTATATAATTTCTTGGGAATTCTTTCCTTAGCGAATGAATTCTAGAGCTTTGTGGTTTCCTTTCGTGCGCTCCAAGAGAATAATAAAAAAAGTTAGTGAGAGAGCGAGCGATTTTTCCCTTCAAGGTTCAATTACAGCTAGTTAAGTTCACAGTCTTTATACAAAAGATCTTGTTACACCTGTTTCCGTTCCCTAAATTATTATTGTTCTCTTGATTCGAATGAAAATAGAGGGGTGTCGGATTCACGCAAAGCAAAGATCATATTTTCACAAGGGATGCGACAACTTCATTGTGAAAAGGAGTTGGAGGACGAAATTCTAATTCCCTCTTTGTATAGTAATTTTAGAAGTGTCGAGGGCCTTCTCTATGTGGGTTAATGGTAATGCGAATCCCAGATAATTTTGAGGTACAACTAGGAACATGTATTGGAATCGGTAGGAGAGAGTCATAGAGGGTGACTGACATAAAACGCCGATATAAAAGTCATATAGCGCTGTATACAGGGTGTCATACTCTAGCTGATGATAATCAAGTTCATCTATCACAAAAATACAACTTGACCTCAGTAATAACCTCACTGTTTTTGAGACATTGACACTTTTATAAAAAAAATTGAATTTGAAGCAAATAAGGAGCGTTTCATGTTAATTATCGTTTTCCATAAATATATTACATACTGAATAGTAGTCGTAACAAACGCAGAAGGTCGATTTTCGATAGCAGTTATTTACGATAGAAAAAATTTAAAGTTTCATAATAGAGACCAAAGAAATCGTAGTATAATTTTTTTGTAGACCGTAAATAACTGCTATTGAAAATCTGCCTTCTACAATTGTTACAACTACTGTTCTGTAATATTTGAATATTGAACAAATATTTGAAATAAGAATCAACAACGCTCCTTATTTGCTTGAATCATGAGATAATAATGATCTGAGGTAGGAATTCAATGTTTTTTTTTCAAGTTCCAATATCTCGAAATCCGTAAACAGCTAAAATATATGATCCATGGTTTATCGGACATTCTCTATTTTGTCCGATTTCGATGAAATAAAAAGTATGTGAACACAAAAAAGAGTTGAGGCATTGGTATGCTGCATAAACTATATACTCATCAGGATTTTCCGGAGAACCGATATTTTGAAATATCGAAGTCAAACCAGAAATGATATATTTATTCTAAATCTGTACATCTGAAACAGCAATCAATCTTCACCCGGTATACTATCGACATGCTGAGGAAACTTTTTGGAATAATTCATTTATTTTCAACAACTTCAAGTTTTATATTTTGAGAGAAGATTATTTTCATTAGGCAGATTAGGCTATGGAGATTTTGGTTCATGAACAATATTTTCGTGTAGAGCTACTTACTTAAAATAATCTGGAAGTGAATTATCGTTGAGTTTTCTCATTGTCATAAGGGTGAAAAATAAAAAGATCTATCCAAAATCCTATTCCTCAATCTGTCCTGATGTGGAAACTATATTCACCGATTTTACAGCTGGAAAATATATATGTTTTATTTGAGAGAAATTATTTAATGGGATAAAATCTCATCCAAGAATTGTGAATTTTTGGAATTCAATCGTCTTGTAGTCTTATTGTGGTCAATAGTTGTAACAAATCTTCTTATAGAACTGCAGAATAGCCAAAATCGAGGCCAAAATACTCTAAAGTGGAAAGGAATTTTCACAGTGAGAGAAAAACTCAGTCATTTCTACAAGTGCTTCAATAAAACGTACAGCAATGGTAGAGGACGAGAAAAAATTACAATAATTGCTCCTCGAGCTCAAGCCACGCACTTCACTATCAACTGTCAAATGATCCAATGTTTGTCAGGTTTGGAATTGTTATGGTTAGGAGGTAAGCAATCTACTCAAGAGTTAATTGGTTTGATATTAAAAGTGAGTGCCTATCACGATTGTGTGTGGAGTTCCTGAATATGAAAATATTGTGACATCCATAACAGCCTGCTGCTGGTAGGTTTCATGTTGTTTTATATTCATCAAACTGCCAATGAGGAAGCAAAATACAAAATCGATAACACAGCATATTAGTATCCAGTGTCCAATCAACTGCCGAAATACAAAATTCGAAAACATATTTTCGCTTATTAACAGAGATATTTAAACCAATAAAGAACGTGTATTTTGAAAATCCAGGAATTTAGTTATTTTTCCCTCGTTATCTGCCATTTTTGTTCATTTTATCAAACACTTGTTAAATCTTTTCAGTTGATTGGCCGACTGACATGAACAAAGTTGCCGATGACATGCTCCCGATTTTCCAATCACTATGGAAATCACTGTCAAACTCGATCAAACTAATTTTGAAACAACAGTCCAATTAAGTAACTCGGCCATGAGTACATGAAGGGAATTACAAACGAGCTATGCTATACCCAACGGAGTTTGCTATATTGATTTTGAAAATACCTACCAACCTATCCCGTCTTTCCTATGGACATTCCATCAGACGCGGCAAAATTATATTTGCATTTTGAATCTCAATTCGATGTAAATGAACATTTTATGCGGAAAAAGGGGGTGATTAATATCTTTGTTCTGATGCATTGCTGAACACGCCTGATGTATATACTGGGTGGATTTTAGGGCTTTAAAATGAAAATACGGAAAAACGCTCGGACCCGTCGATTTCTGATTAGAGGGGGGACGACTTGTCTGCTTTCTTGATTTCCGTAACTTCAATTCCCTACTAGGGGAAGCACAACCCCCGGATGGTAACAAATATTTTACCTGGGGTATATTCCGTTAACAAAGTTGCTTAACCGAATGGTTCACCAAAAATGGCAAAGTGGTAATCATTGCCCTAACAACACAACAAATAAATCCTAAGGACTTCCCAGGGACGTCCTTGATTTTTTACTAGGACATCCCAGGGATATCCTTTGTCGAGACAAAGTACATACTAAGGACGTCCCAGGGACATCCACTTTCCGACAAAAAAGACATCCAAGGGATGTCCTGGTACGTCCCTGGGATGTACCAAGTATGAAGAAAGGATATCCCTATGACGTCCCAAGGATATTTCAGAGACATACCTTCGACAAGAGAAAAAAAAATGTAGATCGAGTAGGGATTGAACCCGGGACCTTTATCTTATCAGGCACGCACCGTACTCCATTGGCTAATATGCCTTCTGAAGATTTATGTATTAAACAGATTTATAAACAGTACAAAACTGAAACCTGAATGAATACAACTTTGTTAGGATTTCATGTATGATTATTATTATCATTCTTGGGTGTTTAAAAATGAGTGGTATTATGCATTTACGATTTCTGTTTGCGAAAAATGTTCATTTCTCAGGAAGTTCTAAGACTATATTCTGTATTTTCATCACAATCATTTTCCGGAAGAAAAACAAACATTGAAAAAAAAATTAACTCAATATTTTGATGAAATTCAATGACTGATGTGAATGGATATCAGATATTCAACGGACACGAATAGCATAACCTAGGGATGAACCGGGCGAGATGTCCACTGGATAACCACTTCGAGACATCCCCTGGATGCCCCAATCATGTCCTTGTATACCGCGGGACCAAAAAGGGACGTACCTAGGACATTCCTGTATTGTTAGGGCGTTGTCACTTGGCAAAAACATTGTTCACATGCATGTGACTGGTAACGAATTTTTCTTTCAATTTTATGAGGAGGGAAGATATTTTATCGGAGAATTATTATTTACTTATTTTATACGTACATCCATATTTGTCTCCATTCCAAACTTTACAAACATCCAATACAACTCCAAACTTCAACCCAAATTATTTTTAGTTGTCATATTTACCGAGATACCGATGATTTTCGACTGGTTCCTCTGGTGACATATGAGTAACCATTCTTTCAGGAATCGTGTACCGTAATTAACCAGTTTTCAGCTGGTAAATGAGGTGACCAGTATATACGGTAAGGCAAACTAGAAACAACTTTGGGAACGGAACATACCCCTGGAGAACTGTCCACCCATTCAGTAATCCCTTCAAAATTCAGGAAAGTTGGTCAATTCAATTCTTCAATATGACTTACTAACGGGTTTCACATGGAGTAGTTTCGGAGAGCATTGACTGAAAGTAATTTTCTCGCTTGCAGGTGCTGATAATTATAACTGCTATAAAGACATTAGCAGTTCATGCTGTTCCATCCAAGAAATTATGTCTTATGGACTGTCCAAAAAATGATTTGTTTTTACAGTTTAATTACCGTTTCAATTTATTGTTTTATCAAGCGGGAAAATACCTCTGAAATGTAAATACATATATCTACTGAAAGGTCAAAATTAAAAATTAATAGCTGTTTTGAAAACGTGAAAATTCTCTTTCAAAAAAATCTGTCAACGACCATCCACCATTTCTCACATAATATAAGCGACAAAAAAA